GTAATTTAGAGCTAGATTTGGATGATCTAATGGAAGAGATTTTCGATAAATTTCAAGTGCTTTCTCATAAAAGGATAGTGCCATTGTATAGTCTCCTGTGGAATAATGCGTAGCAGCAATGCTGCTGTAAATTTCAGCTAGACTTTGATGATCTGATGGATGACATTTCCGGTAATTTTCAAGTGCTTGTTCGTGATATAACACTGCCATCTCGTAATTACCCATTGATTGATATATTTTACCGATTAAATAGTTATACATTATTAGAAATGGATCATCGAGTTGAGCAAATTTTTGACGAACTTCCAGTGCTGTCTGAATATCTGCGAACGCATCAGTGTAATTTCCCAATGTGAATTTTATATTAGAAATGAAAACGATGAGATCAGGCTTTGAGAAATAATCTACATCTATCTCTTGAAAGGATTTGGTTTGGAGTACAGTACTAAGTATTTCGAGCGTTTTTTCGAATTTACCCATCTTCTCCATCAATAAAGCTAGACGAAGCCATCCATTCGGCACATTAATTTCATCTCTTATGAAGTCGGTCAGACATTTCAATTGGGGATCATGATCAATAGTCAGTGTTAGATTAACTTGCCACAATTGATGTTTGATTTGTTTGATATCACCAATTCGAAAAACCGAATGCATTGAAAAAAGTATTTCTTCTTCTGATTGAAATTTACTGATATCACGTATTGATGCATAAGATGTAGAAGAGTTTGATGAATCAAGTTCCATGTGAAATAAAACTCCAACCGTATCAGGATTTTGACGTACACTATCGGCATACAATAAGGAAACGTCACGTTCAACACTTGTCGATAAGAAATTGTTGAAAGACAAAAGACCAGATTTATTTTTCTGTATTTTTCTAAAGTCAGCCTCTGATAATCCTTGTCCTCGATAAACGATCATCTTTGAAGCCTGATGATTTTGTAAGTGTTTTTGTTCGATTTCTTTATGAAGATCTTGAATGAAAAATCCCATCTTTATGATCATTTCGGTATCTTGAGTTCTCAAAGCTTTGTTAAGTGTAGAATATAAAAATTGTTTTTTTGTGTACCACCAGATAGTTGAATGATGTTCATAAGATTGCTGGAATTCATATAATGCCTTTGATTGGAAACCTTCTTCTGGAAAGGAATGAAGGTAGAAATCAATGAATTCTTTTCTTACATTATCATCATATTTCATTTCAAGAATAATTTCTTTGAGCAATTGTGTATACATAAATGACTGATCTAATGTATCAAAATTTGGAGAAGATGTCGGTGAAACAATACTAAATGGTGTTAAATCAATCATTAGCCGAGAAACATCTTGTTTTAGTAAATCACAAATTGATTCGATTTGTGAAAAAATTCCTTTAACTTTTCTGTATTTTTTTATGCATTCATTATCATGTATTTGTTGACTGTTGATAATATAGATTGCATGAAGCTGAGTAATATCTTCAATAAGAGGAATGATTGATTGATCGAAGGATTCTGAAATAATCATGAATATCTTTTCATCTTTAACATCAGTAACAAATTCAATACATTGATTTGGATCAATAAATATTTTGACAGAATTCACGGCGTATTTCAATTTATTAATACAGTTGTCTATATCTTCGTCCGAATAGTTGATATTTAAATTCAACCAAATAACAATAAAATTCTCTGCAATGCGAGATCGTATGATTTGTGATAAGTTGTTTTGGATGTTAGAAGTTGTGTTGATATCTGGTGAAGAATCAGATATTGTATCTGTTGAATCTTTAATAATACTTCTCGATTCGGTCGTTAAGCTTACATTGTCTACAGATGATACAATACTAAACTTCGATTCTCTTTCGTTCATCATATAGAGGTTCCGCTACAAACAGTAACTTATAGATATGAAAGATACAATCAATGTTAGACTCTTACCTGTTTTTATTACAATGAAAACTTGTTCTTCGATAAGAACTTTATTTTTTTAAAAGTCAACAGTTTTACTCATACCTGGTCTTGCACTATCATTTTTTCCAAGTTCACGTTATCTTTCTTATCATCCTAATGCGCTCCTTTTTTTACTGGTAGTTTTAGTGTTTTTTATGTTGGGAAGTTGGAAAAAAACAGGGTGACAAATATCATATAGATAATGGCATACTTTTTATTTCATATAAGTTCACAGCAGAGATGTCCATCGCGGCTGAAAATCTGCCGCAGCCTTAGAAAAAAAAGCTGCCGCGCCGCGACGTCTTATAAGAAAATGTTCCCGCAGCGGTTTTCAAAAAAGTGTTTCTAATTTTACTGTTGCAACTATATTTGATCAGAGATATCGGTACTAGACTATCAGATTCATTCAATCTCGAAGTATTTCATTTGTAAACCCCGAAATTTTATTAAATTTATGCAGTTTCTCAATGTCCTCCAAAATAAACCTGCCGTTGCCGTCACTGTCACCACGGCAGCGGCAGTGCTGCGATGGATATCTCTGATTCACAGGAGAGATATCCACCGCGACGACACCAGTGACAGCCTTGTATCTTCTATGACCGTGGCACAGCAGCGAGAGGTTTCTAGTCGTGATGGACATCTATGTTTCACAGTCCATCAGTAGGAAAAAGATAATTTTTTCACTTGATCAAAGTAATTAATACGAGAACAGAAAGTTTTTAGTTCATACTTCGCATACTATTCTCTGTACAATACAATTTGTTTTCAGAAAAAAAACAATGATTCATGAAATTGTAACAAATTTATTCATGTAACCACTATAGTGAAAACAAAAAAAAAACGACTAATAATTAATCATGTTGTCATTGTACATCGGGCAATCAAAAAGTTCTGAGAACTAGTAACATTCCTTCAATAAACAGTACATTATATCTATTTGTCTACAACAAATGTTAGAAGATATCATAATAATTTTCAATAATCTTTTTATATTCATCGATGTGTATCAAACTGATTGTTTGACTATTAATTTATTGCATCTAGATAGATATTTAATCTATATTTTAAAATAGTTAAATATGTCTGATAGACTATATCTTCAAAATTCTTTCTTTGAGAATTTTAATAACAACATTTTTTATATGCGGTTTGCAATACCATGATGGATTTGACAACAATGATATCTCCTGATAGTCTTTATTGAAAAGTTTCTTAACTAATGTTTTTTAAATATTATTATATAGCATTAACAGACCATATAGAGTAAGTAATGCTCATGTTATCATAAAGAAAATAATAAACATGTTGTCGTCTTCTTATAACAAGGAAAAAGATTTTCTCCTTTTATAGACTAGGATTTCTTTCTTGTCTCTACCTAATACGGCAATATCTAATCTGTCTTTCAACGCCCATCATTATATCACATCATCACAATGTCTGTTTCATAAAACTCGCCAAACTTTTGGTACTGAATCAATGAGTATAACTAAGCAATAACCGAGTCATTAGTTTGACATATATCAATAAATATAAAAAAGATTATTCAAAAGTAAATCGAACATTGTTCTGATGTCTTCTAACATCTGTTGTAGACAAATAGATATGATGTACTGCTAATTGAAGGAATGTTACTAGTTCTCGTTCTATGTAAAATAAAACTTAACATTTGTTTGTTATGACTGATATTGGATTTAAACTAATGGATAATCTACAGAACTAAACATATTAATATCTTGAAATATGTTAATTTCTATTGTTCATATATTTTAATACGAGTTCATACGATCTTATTTTAAAGTTCAATAAACTTATTTAAATGTATAATAATATTCATACGACCTTTTTCGTTTGTAATTTATCAAGTTTTGACATAATCTTTCTTTTATATGATAATCGTAACTGATAATCATGACTGTTTTTCTTTGAGAAGGACAGTAAACACTTGTCAACACAATATCTGAAATATAGTTGAAAAATAAGGATTTAATACAACTCAACACTTCATCTATTGATATGACCACTTTCAAGTACTTAATACATTTTTCTTTTTACTTATTCTTTCTTAATATTATTTTTTTCTGTATCAAATATCTAGAGCAATAATTCAGATTTTTTTTTTTTCTCTCGAATTATTTTTTTATAGATGAAACCGGATCAAATAGATAAACACATCAACATTCCAGATAAAAATAATACAATGCTCTGAGATTTCTTTTTTATTGCTTCTTTTTGAGACACAAATAATAAAGACAAGAAAAAAAAATATGCTAGAATAAAGCATATAAAGAAGAAACAATGACAAGGTCATAACCAAGACATTGATAGAAAGAAAACAAAGAATGATAACATTCATCAAGAAAATATTATTCATGGTATAGAAGAGACAACGACAGATCATCTAACATCAATGTATATGGATAATATTTTGGTTTCTGTGACAAAATCTTTTTCTCTCGTTTTATCGAATTACCATCAGTTTGATGACATGTTAGAAATGACATTTCTAACTAATAGATTTTCTTTGTATATACAATGATTGTATTTTTGATAAAAACATCATTTATCATACAGTATGAATAGATTATTAGGCCGTAATTTAGCGACCTCCATCATTAAATTGAATTTTGTTTTAATTTGTTCAATTAAGGGGAAAACTATTGTCTACAAATTCTGTACATGTAAATAATTTTTAAATCTTATAATTTTTAATAGTATGACGCACTTCATATAAATGAATCATTCGATTGGTCATTCAACCGATTTAGTCATTATTCATTGAAGTTAATATTATTACTTTTTTTATTTTGACATAATCGGACAGTTTTATTATACAGAAGATGATTGATTTAAGATTTTTTTTTTTGTTTTAATCAAAACATTCAACAATGATCAATAGATTTATTTTTTTTTCTTATTCAATTATTGACCTGAAAAAAGGATAGTTCTTATTTATTTTGAATCAAAAAAAAATAAAAACGATTTTTTTTTTCTTTTACTTCTCACGTAAAACAAGTAGCATAGTTTCTTCTTCTTTTTTTCTCATAAAACGTAGATTGTAATATAAACAGATGTCTCTTATGTGTATTTGCTCGTTTGCACTCTTGGTATGAAGGATTGACCGTGCCGGAAGAGAATAGCAACGACGATAGACATATAAAGAAAGAGCGAACAAATCATATTGTCAATTTTTTCTTCCTATTCTCTCTCTCTCTCTCCCTTTCTCCTTTTCAGGGTAATACAAAAAAAACCGAAGCGAAAAGAAGAAAGAAGCAGCCTATAACTCAACATCATTATCGGTGACACCGCCACACGCGAAGCTCCCACCATCTTGCTTCGTGATCAGATCACTTACATATATTATTGTCTGCGTCTTCTTCGTTGTCATCACAACTTCTTTATTTATTATTTCAAATTACTGCTTCTTATTCAGTTTTTTTTGCTTTTCTCACCTTCTTACATTACATTCATTTATAAGTATTAACTTATCGACAGTATCCTCCCAACATCTCTCGTCTGATCATAAATACAATATCGAGACAGGTAAATGACTATTATAAACGAAGAAAAGAAAAATGAAGTTCAATCACACGATCATAAATAATGGTAATATCGTACAATTATTAAATTGACCCTTTGGCGTTATGTTCTTCTTGTCTATATAGAAATGACATTCATCCCATCTATATTCTCGTTCTGGTGAACGCGAAGTAGTATTTCTTATATAGATGGAAATACTTGTACGTGTGTCCTGTACAGAAGTAGTAAGGCGTTGTTATAATAAAGAACGAGTAAACTGACAGAGAATGAGAGAGAGAGAGAGGGAGAGAGAGGGAGAAACAAAAAAAAATGAGAAGAAAAGGAAAGAAATGCGTGTATTTATGTACAACTAATCTTCTAGTAGCAGTTATCTCATATACACGGCAACATGTTGTCGAGCTTTGTCATCATCCTTATTGTTATCATTATCTTTTGCCCATCGTCAGTCATACAATAGATGTGAACGATTGAAAGAGAAAAGAAAACGAAGGTCAAAATCTGAGAGAGATCTCTAATTGATAATTTTATATGCGTACATTTACCTATATTTACATATATATAGATATATATATGGGCAAGTGTCATTAACTGAGACAACCGTACTATTTTTTCATTCATCCGTGACCAATTTAAGTTTGTTGAATGTGATTTGCGTATATATTCGTGTGAATCATTTTTTTTTTGCTTCTCTTGTCTATTTGTAATTTGACCAGAAAATGTCATCATTGTTATTACAGGAGGAGGAGATGTTCTCTTTACCAACAACACCTAATACAAC